TCTATCTATTATATTACTCAATACATTTTTAGGAAAAACAAAAAATTAATGATGAACATATCTGATGTTGATTATAATAAAATAGATAGATAGATATATGCTGAAGTTTGTTTAAAGTTAGACAGAGAAACAAGGAATAGGAATAGGAAAGCATGTATGCTAACAGTAAGTTATTTTCTAAATTGTGTTTGTGCCAAATGTGAATTTGAGAATGTTATTCTAGCATTCTGGATTTATTTATTTCAATTTTGGTTCTTGGTTTGAAAATTATGTAAGTCTTGTAGTCAACTACTTCTCTTGGTTCTAAATTACTTAAAATCTAACTCTTATATGTAAATTTTTCAATGGCACAGGCACGCCAAAATGAAATAGAGAACAAGTATATATGTGATTTGTCAAAAAGGCCACTGAGAACTGTGAAATCGTATCCTGTGTATTTTTTCAACGGGTATAGATTTCACACAGAGTCACACGGTGAGAATAAATCAACAATGAATAGTGGTGTTTGTGTAAGTAGCACATGTGATGATTACTATGGCAAGTTGATGGACATATTAGAAATTGAGTATACTGCCTTGCCAATTAAACGCACTGTCTTGTTCAAATGTGAATGGTATGACCCAACACCTAATGTTGGAGTAAAGGTTCATAACCGGTATAATTTGGTTGAAATAAATCAACGGAGATGGTTTAACAAATTTGAGCCATTTATTTTAGCAATGCAAGCTATTCAAGTTTGTTTTGTTCCGTACCCTAGTATGAGACGAGATAAAGTTAATTGGTTAGTTGTGTGTAAAGTTCAACCTCGGGGATGGATAGAATCTTTCAAAAAGGAAAATGGCCAAACGAAAGATACTGCTTTTCAAGAAAAAGAAGTTGAAGAAACTGAAATTGCAAGTACTGTGGATGATGATTCTTTCGTTAGGTTAAGTGATGAAAATGTGGAATATCTCGACATTCCTGACGACAATTCAGATAACAATGAAGAGGAAAATGATGAGCTTGAATTTGACTCTAGTTCGTCAACTAATGAAGATGAAGATAATGATTGTTATGATGATGATGATGACGACGACGACGATTATGAAAATTAGAGTTTATGTAGGTAATTCAAAAGTAATGCTTAATAAATATATATTATATGAAACACTAATATATATTACACTTTTCATATTTTTGTAGGAAAGATGCCAAGAGGACGTGGAGGACGTGGAGGTCGTTTTGCAGCTAGACTTTTGTCAATAAATGTTCTACCACATAATGGAAGTCACACATCGGCATCGGCATCGATTCCCACAGTAGCATCAAGACCCTTATAACCATCCACGCCATCTACGGCTACTAATAATGGTCAGGTTGGACAAGATGCAGTTAGGCAACAAGGTGATATGGTTGACTCTGTAGGAGTGCATGGATGCCTACGAATTGATGTTAAGGATAATATGTAAGTTAAATTAAAATGAAATTTATTATTTGAGTATATATTAATTTTTTAAATTTTGACTTTTCCTTTTTATAGGTTGACTAGCTCAGATGTATGTGCTAGGAAAATTACTAAGTTGTTCAAAGAAAGAATAGATCCCAATGGTTATGCATGGGGACAACTTAGTGTTGAGACAGTTGAATTTTATTGGGAAGAATTCAAGGTAATATTTAATCTCATGCATTGTATTTTAATTCTAAAGTGAATTATTGTTATTTTGTTTACATGTCTAACGTAAGTTCGTATTTACATTGTGTTTTGTAGAAATTTTTTGAGTGGGATGCTACTAAAACTGCTGTAGTGTATAATGCTTGGGAGATAAAGGCTAAAAGAAGATATGCTGATTACATAAGCAGAATAAGGAAAATGCCAAGACCTCCTTATGTCCCACCAGAAATATGGACAAAATGGAATGATGTTTGGAATTCTGAGGAGGGCAAGAAGAAAATAGAATTGGCTAAGAGAAATAGGCGTGGAGGAGTTTTAACTGGAGTTGCTCAATCTACCCATACCACAGGATGAACACCTCACGTAAAAGTTGCAGCTCAACTTGTAAGTTATTTGAATTGTTTAAGTTATAAGTATTATGTGTTTTGTATTATATGAAAATAAGATATGGAAACCTGAGATTTATTTGAACTTGAATGATTTGATAATGAGGATTGATTGAACTTAGGAGTAGAAACTGCAGAGTTAATTTGGGAAGAACTAGCTTAAATCTTTTAATGAGGATTCTAGGTAAAATGAATAACTAGAGTTTACTTGACTCCAACTTTTATGTTTTTTGTTGATTGTGATTGTGTTTTATTGTGTTTATTGATTGATGTTGGAGATTATAATTGAATTGTATTATATATTGAACAGGGAGATAGTCTTATATACAAAGGAAACTCTGCCGAATTTTTTCTTACTTTAATAATTGCTTTTGTTTGTTAAATATAATTTGTAGGAAGGACAATTGGGTCATTGTCCATCGTATTATGAACTATTCAGGCATACACATACGAAACAACACGATGAGCAAACATTCATAGCTGAAAAAGCCAAACAAATTCATGTAAGTTTAATTTGTTTTAAGTTTTTAAAATATCTATGCCTTTACATATATTTTGCACTAAATCTCTAACATATTTTAGGAACAAGTTGAATCGCAATGGGAGATGTTGGCAGAAAATGGGGAGCAGGTGGATGACAATCAATTATACTATGACGCGGTTGGTGGACACGATAAGAAAAGAAGAGTTTATGGACTTGGTTCATATGGTTGTTCTGTTGTTCATGGTCCAACTAATGATAACACTTCTGGCAATATGACACCAACATCGCGACCACCCGACAATGCTACTTCTACTTCTGCAAATGTACAACATGAAATTCAGAGTTTGAAGGAAATTATTCTCCTTATGCAACAACGACTTGATGCTATTGATGGCGGGAGAGCGGGTACTTCATCATCACCTACATCTCCAATCAATTGATTTTAATGGTTGTTTGTTAATGTTGTTTAGACTTGAATTGACTATTATATTATGTATTAAGTGTGGATTGATAATGTATTATTATGTTGTTTAGACTTGAATTGACTATTATGTATTAAGTGTGGATTGATAATGTATTATTATGTTGTTTAGACATGAATTGACTATTATATTATGTATTAAGTGTGGATTGGTAATGTATTAGTATTATAACTTAATTTAGAATTATGTTATTTTTTATTTTAAAAACATTCATTACTGTTTACAATCAAATTTAAAAATAATTCAAAAACGCGACGGAATCGCGACGGAATATAAAATTTGCGACGGAATATTTGTTGCCAATGAAGCGACGGAATTACAACGGAAAACATTTCCGTTGCGAAATTCGCGACGGAATTGGCGACCGAAAAAATAATATGGCGACGGAATATTCGGTTTAGAAATAACGACGGATTTGCGACAGAAACAGTTCCGTTGCGAAATTGGCGATGGAATTCGCAACAGAATAATTCCGTCCCCAAATGGCGACGGATATATTCCGTCGCGAATTCCGTCGCCAAACGTTGCGACGGAATTATTCCATCGTCTACCAAAAAACGACAAGGCGATAGACGACGGAATAAATTCCGTCGCGAAACGCGATTCGCGACGGAATATTGCCCATTCGCGACGGAAAAATTCCGTCGCAATTCGCGATTTTTCTTGTAGTGTAGATCTACTAGACTAGTCTAACTCGATCATCTCTCAAACGTTGGGCCTACCTGAAAGGGGTTTTACAAACAACATATAGACAAATAGGAAAACACCCGTTCACACGAAGCTAAGTATAACCACACTCAACCCTGTAAAGTACTATAGAATATACTTTGGAAAAATATTTGTTCACATACTAAATCAAACAAACTCATCACATAGACAACTGTAGATACATACTTTCTATATGCTTGCAACCTATAATATCAACAGCATGCTTCAATATAAATGACTCAACAACATAAGTAATCCAACACATAAGTATCACAACAAACTCATCATAACGAACTCATGCTTACAAGCAATTTCATACTATTAATCAATACGAAAACTATCTTCATGCTTTCAAGTTCTCATCATGCAAACTGGATATATAAGACTTCAAAATGCAACTAAGCAATCATACTCATAAGCAAACTCGGCTAATCATTCTCATTATGCAATCTCGTGCAATACTATTGTTAGGAATATATTGTATAAGTTTTGATGAGCCAAATGTATTTTGTAGACCCTAATTTTATTTTATTTTAGTCAGTTCTGGTTCACCAAGAATAGTGCACCACTGCCATGAAGCCTACATGAAGTCTACGAAAAAGCAGTTTTTAAAGAAGAATAAATGAAAGCGGGATCATAGCTTAACAGATTTATGAAGCATCAAGTTACCAAAGGTTGAGATGGATGAGATGGTAGAAGACTTGTTGAAGCATGCCTAATGCCAAGTGATCCATAGTTCGATTCTCATTAGAAGCAATTTTGGTGTAAAGATGAATTGCTATCGTGAAGTAGCAATATCAGGAGATGATGTCATCATGATAGTAATATCAGGTAATACTATCATGAAAGAACAATTTTTATCGTGATAGTTGAGAATTATCGGGTGATGACGTCACGACTATCGGGTAATGACATCACAATGTGATAAAGCTAGTGGAGAACACGTGAAGGAGATAAGTCAAAAGATTTAAGTCTTGGATTGTATAAATTGGATACCCAGCCGAGATGGAAGAAGCCTTGCGAAGTAAAGCAAATGTTCCACAGTTCGATTCCCACCCGAAGCGATTTTATGAATTCATGATATTGGTTCATGACACACAATGGAATGTGATACATGGTCCATGATACAAGGTGGAACATGATAGCTAGTTCATGAAATGAAATAGAACATGATATATATGGTCCATGATACAAGGTGGAACGTGATACATGGTCCATGATACAAGGTGGAACGTGATACATGGTCCATGATACAAGGTGGAACATGATAGCTAGCTCATAATAAGAAATGGAACATGATATATAGTCCATGATACAAGGTGGAACATGATATATAGTCCATGATACAAGGTGGAACATGATATACTATTGGGACATGACTTCATCAAAAGGAGCTATGACATCATGATAGAATTAGACAGAAACATTTTTTGAAGCTCTGTTTCTGCAAAAGAAGTCGAAGGAGAAGAAGAAGTTGATATACGAAGGAGATCTTTTTTAATACTCAAGCAAGAATCAGCAGATAAATTATTTGATCAACTTGGCACATCAGATCAATAATTCAACAAAAGTCATGCCAGAGAAAATTCAAAATTGGAGCCTACCCATTCCAAAGAAAAGCTTTGTCAGATTAAAGGAGAGCAACGACGAGATTTCTCAAAATCTTCTGACAGACGGCGAAATGATTTTTGCAGACCAAGTTGGCAAAATTAATTGATCAACTACAATTCAAAATGGACGATCGAGATCGAAAGTTGATCAACGGGCAAATAGCTTTCATCTGCTATAAATTGCCCAAGCAGACTTGAAGACATGAAAAAAATCCAACAGAGATTCAGAAAACACTTGTACAACAAAGAAAATTATCCAATCAATCATCAAGTGATATATTGAGCTATACACGATCAAATTCAAGTCTGAGTGAGAGAAAAATCTTTGTATTTCATTGTAAATCTTCTACTGAGTGTAGAAAAGGGGTAGAGTAACTAGGGAGAGTGAAAAACCCAGTTGGAGTGTAGCTTTGTGCGTAGCACTCGGTTGTAACGGGCAGAGTAACAAGGGGAGCTTGTGAAAACCCGGTGAGAGCGTAGCTTTGTGCGTAGTTCTCGTGGTGTAGGAGTACAGTTTGGTGCGAAGTACTCGGGAAGGCAGAGTAACAAGAGGAGCTTGCGAAAAACCTTGGTGGAGTGTAGCTTTGTGCGAAACACTCGGAGAAGTGTCGTTGGGCACTTATTCACTATTGTATCTGGGTGATTGAAGAATAGTGAATTTCCTCCTTGAAGTGAAAGGAGAAGAGTGGACTAGGAGGATTACACCACCTCTGAACCACTATAAATCTCTCTCTCTATTTACTTACTGCTCATATATATTTCGTGCATGCCTATATTATTTGTGAACTAACCCGTTACGGTTTATTGCGTATCTTTATCTGTCTGGGTTTGATAGTTTCCTCGTTTGCATGCAAGTGAAATTTTATATACATCATCCTACATCTATATCAAGTGTTTCTAACGTGATGCATGTATAGAATCTCTCTTGAGCACGACACAATTTAAAGCATAACACTTTGCCGTTACAATTCCGCTGTGCACACTCTAAGTTGTTATACTTGTTTATGCTTGTTACTTAGAGTTGAAGTTACAAAGTGTTGTTTGCAAAAGTAGTTTGAAAAGTTAGAGAGGTCTATTCACCCCCCCCCCCCCCTCTAGACTTCTCACCACCCTTTCGGGACCAACAAGTGGTATCAGAGCGGTTGTCTATTTGAGTCATTTCTTGACTGCTAGACAGATCTCGAAAACTTCAAAATGAAGAGAGATATGGTTCTTGCTCAAAATTTGCTTTTTCCCACTTGATAAATTTGATGATTGGAAAATACGTATGCAGGTGCACTTATCTGCTTTAAATGATGAAATGTGGGAAGTCATCACAAAAGGCCCTATCCAAATTATGGAAGCTAATACTGCTACCCCACGAGATCCAAATGCTCCACGATATATTCCAAAGCCAAAAATGGAGTGGACAAAGGAAGACAGAGGACGAAATAACTTGGACAATATTGCCAAGGACATTTTGTTCAAAACGGTCGATGACACCATATTCCCAAAAATTCGAAAGTGCACCACGGCAAAAGAAATATGGGACATGCTCATAAGCATCGGTGAAGGCGACGAACAAGAAAAAGACAACAAACTAACCATCGCCATGAAAAGGTTCGAAGATTTCAAAATGCTACCGAACGAAAGCATCACCGACATGGAAGCTCGATTGATCAAAATACTTGGAGAAATCACGGATCTGGGAAAGACCATTACCCAGAAGGAAATATCGCTCAAAGTGTTACGCGGACTACCTACAAATTGGGATATGAAGGTGACCGCAATGCGCGATCATAGAGATCTAAGGACATTATCTACGGATAAACTCTTTAGTGATCTAAAGGCGTATGAGTTCGAGATGAAGACACGAGTTGAAGAAGAACGTGATGAACGAACATCCGCATTAATGGCCGATCAACCGTCTACATCAAGGTCAGTCGTAAATAATGATTTTTTATCTGACGAACAATTTTCCTTATTTGTTAGGAAATTCAAGAAGTTCATGCGAAAGAACAAATGATCACCGCAAGGAAATTCTTTTCGAGAAAATAGAAGATCAAGAAGGGAACCGGTCGAAGATAACACAAATCTGTGTTATAATTGTAGAAAGCCTGGACATTTTATGGCCGAATGTCCACAGCCCAAGGTGAACAAAAATTCGAATACTTCTAACTCTCCACAGGTTGAGTACAAG